AAACTACTGTTGACGGGAAAATCGTGTGTGTTAAATATGATTTGTCCTTGACAATGATAGATACGAAAGTATGCAACTCACTGACAGATACAACATCTGCGATGCGTTGTTATCTGTGCAATTGTACATCAAAAAATTTCAACGACATAGATGCAATGCTTAACAAAAAATTGTTTCAGATCACTTAAAATTTGGCCTATCATCTCTACATTGTTGGAATAGGTGTTTCGAATTTTTATTACATTTGTCGTACAAATTAAAAATCGAAAAATGGCAGGCACGTAAGGGAGAGAAAAAAGAGTCGGTTGAAAACAGGAAAAAAATAATACAAGCTGCTTTTAAAAAAGAAATGGGCTTAAATGTTGACAAACCGAAAGCTGGAAGTGGAACATCGAACGATGGTAATACGGCTTGTCATTGTTTTGAAAAGTACCAACAATCTGCAAAAATAACTGGAATTGAGCAGGATATTATACATCGTTTTTATATTATACTGCAAGCCATATCAAGTGGACATGACATTAATTTGGACAATTTTAGACAGTATACTGAGAAGTTAGCTAGAATGATTGTAGAAAAGTATGATTGGTATTACATGCCAACTTTAGTACATAAGCTATTAATTCACGGCCCAGAAATCATTCAAGATTCAGTTTTACCTATCGGTCAAATGTCAGAAGATGCACAAGAGGCCTGCAATAAATTTTATTCGATCTATCGCCTGAGCTTTGCTAGAAAAAACTATCGTCAAAAAACAATGGAGGATGTGTTCAAAAGATTTTTAGTAGCTTCTGATCCATACATTTCTAGTTGTAGAAAATTGCCACCTAACAGCTAAAATCTTTATCAGCAGATGCTATTAATTTATTGTCGTTTCCATCTGTTGATAAAGAAGAGGAGCAGGACAGTACTGATATTAGCTCTGCCTCTGAGTCAGAGACAGATGTAGATGCTTATGGACCTTCATGATAATGAAAATTTTTTTATGTAATTCTTCTTTAAAGCAGGAAATACTTTCCAATTTTATAATATTAGAGTATACGTTTTTTAAATACTTGTACAAGTTATAATACAATTCGAAACTCTAGTTTCGTGTATAACCTATAATTTTCAATTTTAATAAAAATTTTTGTGAAAATTTGAAAAATGTTTGTTTTAGTACATTTATTTAGTATAAATGAAATTATCCAATAGTAACAAAGAAAATGTACACGAAAAAACTTTAGAATTCTTTGCATGACACCATATTGGATCCGCCATTCTGAATTTCGTAATTCTGACGATGGATTCGTGCTCAGCGACCCCAAAAACCCCCGAGGACGAGGTTTCAGGTCAATCCATTAAGTTTTCAAATTATGGCCGCACAATGAGGCCTTCGGCCGCACTGTGCGTCGGCAGCGATAAATAGGCTGCCGGCATGAATTAAGCTCGCGGGGCCTCGAAGTACCCCTAAAGGACCTCGCCGAGTACGGTACCATTCGCGAAGGATCGCGAGAATGATTATTGGCCGCGGAAAAGCGCGGCGCGGCTGTGCGTCCCTCGGAGGGGGAAGAAACGTATGGATCGTGCATCGATCGCGATTTTCGTGGCTTTTTGTTTCCGGCGTGCGATAACGGCGGACGTCCCGGCCCGTCGAACCAGACCCGCGCTATGGAGAGAGAGAGAGAGAGAGAGAGAGAGAGAGAGAGAGAGAGAGAGAG